GGACTGTTAACAGTGCAACAGCTTAACTGAAGGGAAAGAAAATTATTATTTTAGCATTTTTCTCTCTTTAAGGTATTTTAGATTTGATTGTTATGTATACATGTTATAGCAATATAACAAAAAAATTTGAGGTTTACTTAATTTTTCAAATTTATTTAAGTGTCTGAAATGCCTGCTACAGAGGTCTTCCTATTTTCTTAGTATTCTTTTTGGTTGCTTGTTCATCATTACAATACTTGGTTGGTTTGTACTTCCTTTTGCTATTCCTTCACTTGAAAGATTACACCTGTAACCTGTTTAGTGGAAGATTAGATTACACAGACATGATGTTCAGGAGCCAACAAAAAGCTTAAGCACATTATAACTTTAAAGCTGTTTGAGTCACCCGAACAGTGAAAAGCAGTTATAACAAGATTGAGAGTTTGGCATGGTGCCTCCAAGTAGGGAACTACAGCTCAGTGATTATGTTTTATGATCTCCCTTCTAATTTGACTTTCTCCCATTTTTTGGGAGAAATAAAAATGTAACAAATGAACCCCCCCCCCCCAACCAAAAAACAAAAGAACACCACCAACAAAAAGTAACTTGGCAGCATTCAGGCTATGACCAGAGCTTACCTGACATTCTTCCTATAAAAGTATCAGATTTTAGAGACCTTATGACACAGCAATAACTTCTCCCCTAGAGAAAGTTATTTAAACAGATCACCAAAGGACATAATCAAGATATGTGATTGGAGAAGAGGGGAAAAAAGAGCAAGTACTACCAGGAATGAAACTAGAAATGACACAGAGATTATGAACTGTGGAGGGGTCTGGAGACATGCACAAGAACCAACGGCAGCATAACTATTTTGGTGTCTTTCACTTCATTTGATGCAATATACTGGCATTTCTTAACCGAATTTTTACTTTTATAGAAATAGATACATTAAGACTACATTATTACATAAAACATTTTTCTAATCTTGTTTTTTACAGTATTGTATTGTTTTGTTCTGAATCAGAGGAAAATGAAGAAAAATATCACTTTCATACTTTTTATTGAAAAATGTAGAAAGTTTTGCCCTGGTTTTCTGAAAGTGATTCTTATTGTACTATATTAAAGCATATTAAATCTATTCAATTTTCTTAAATTACTCTATTAAAAAGAATAGAAAATATGTGAAAACTATTCTTTTTTAGGCAATAATTTTGAGTAGTTTGTATTTATTAATTTGTAACATATTCAGTATAAGCTATGGCTTGTAATATGTTTTAATTGGACTTTAAAATGAGGGTTCATTTTATCTAGGATAAGGTTTTATAAACTTTGTACAGGGAATGTTCTACCAAACTTCTACATATCATGAAGTATCAAATCTAAAAACTCCACAAATACTGATTGCATGATCAGTATTGCCCTCCGCAAACAGGCTTTTTATATGTCCTCAGGAATGCAAAATAAATATTACCTAGCCTGCTTTATAAAAAAACTTTAATTAGAGGAGGCACTTTGCTGGATCTGCTCCTCACAAATCTGGAAAAAAAAAAAGGACCTGTGAAATCTGATGGCAAACTTGGCTGCAGCGACCATGACACAACGGAATTTAAGACAACGGATCCTGAGAGAAGTTAGTAAAATGAATAGCAAATTACAACCCTGGACATCAGAACTGACTCCTGACTGAAGTCAAATGCAAAAAGGGAGTACACGGAAAGTGAAAGCAGGGATGAATGACCTGGGAGAAATACAGAGACATTGCCCTAACATGCAAAAATGGAATTAGGGAGGCCCAAAGGTCGGGTGCAGATGAAGTTAGCAAGGGATGTGATGGGCAAGAAGGGTTTCTGTAATTACCTTGGCAGCAAAAGGAAGACTATGGAAAATTTTTGTCCATGCTCAATAAAGCTTTCTTTGGCTCAGCCTTTTTTCTTTTTTTTTTTTTAGCATGGTCTGCTTTCAGGCCTCGCAGGTCCCTGTGCCTCGTGGCAGGATCTGTGGGGTATCACTCACAATAGAGGAAGACATACTTAGGCTGCAGTTAGGCGAATCAGGCATACATGAGTCCTTGGGACCAAAAAGGGTATGTTCAAGGAGCAATGGTTAAGGGAGCTCAACAATGTCATTGAAAGGCCACTCTATCTTTAACAGATCATGATAATTGCAGGAGGTTTCTGAAGACTGGAAAAGTCAATTTCCATGTCCCTCCTCAAGAAGGAAGATGTAGGTCATCAAGAAGATCATGGAGCAAATTTGCCTAGAAGCCAAATGCTGGATCACTAAAGACAGTGAGGATAATCAAAAACTGCAACAGGCTGCCAAGTGAGGAACTTCCACAAGTGATGATATTTAAAAACTAACTGGGTATGACCCTCAACGGCCTAATCTAACCTTGGACTTGACCCTGCTTTGAGCAGGGGGAGTTAAATCAGACTCTAGAAGCTCTCTTCCAAATTAAATTATATTCCAGGATTGTAACGGCCACAGTAAAAATAAACAGCTTTGTCTGTGCTTGTCCAGCCACATCTGTCTAAAATAACATAGAACAAACACTACTAAAAAAAAACAAACTGAAAATTCAGAACACCCTTCACTTCATTTTTATTTTGTTGGACAAAATTCTAGTTTATTCAGAACATAATCTTTTCAATTCTGCATAATTCAACAGTTGTTTTGCCCATTCTTTGAATTTTGGTCTTTGACTGCAGACCACAGAGAAGTAGAAAATCAAATGTAAAGTTGTCTGAAGGTTTATTAGAAAATCTAAATAAGATTTTGGCTATTATTTCATGGTCAATCTTCTTATTAAGGTATTTTTCCAGCTCCAGAAGGATTTAGATATACTGTAGAATTGAAATGACAAATGTGTAATTAAATTTACTACTGAAAAGTGGGCATACAAATACGAACAGCTGTCTTAAGAATAGTGGGGAAAACGAACACAACTAATAAAAAAAACCTTACAGTTTCCTCTGTCTCCTTCTTTACAAACTATGCAGTTTACCAAAATATTCAAAATAGGCAAAAAATACACCGGTTTAAAATGTATATTTTATATCATCCGTATTAAACAGGGTAAATGATACCAATTGTGGAGTATTTCTATGTATCTAATAAGTATTTTTTCTGTCAGTTTAAGAATGTTAGATTCAGACATTGAATTTTTTTTTTTTTTTACCTCATCTGTGTTGAAAAATGTGAAAAGCAAAAATAGGCCAAGTAACTGTCAAGCAGGAACATCAAAATTCTCATTATTTCTGAAAAAGTCTTTTTATTTCATTTCAGTAATGTATAGGGATGTAAAATTGGACACAAATTAGAAGGCCGTAGGTTACTATCCCTCCAGGTTTTTTTTTTTGGATTGGAGGCACCTTAAGGCAAATCTTGCAGCTCTGGAACACTGTAAATGCAGATGGACAGAAGGACTGAAGTTTAATATTATTCCCTCTGTACTTGATATACCTATAAAGGAAAGATCTTGGCGATTTAGATAAAAATGGCATCAGACCACAACTACCAGGGGTGCATAAAGTGCCAGATACATAATACATTTAACAGTGGCAAAAAGCCTGGAACACAGGAGTTGTGTCAGTTGCCAAGTCAGTGGGTAGAAATTACTGAGGACTTAGCTGGCATCTGGGAACCTGAGTATATGAAGGCAAGGGAAGAACAGTAAAAATGGCAGCTCTTAGGAGAGTAGAAACAGTCTTAAGAACAAAAAATGCTGAAAGAAGAGGAGAAAGATTTCTGCGTTTATTACAGCTACTAATCTGAAACCAAGCAGATGTGTGCTGCAAACTGCCTAGATCAATCTAACTGTTACTGCTTGTTAAGTGGAGTTATTTTCTCATTTATTACAATTATTGGGGCAATTTAAATATTTTAATGAAGGTTTCTGCCTGGTTTTACTTTTTAGTATTTGAACAATAGCTTTGGCTTTGCAGTCTTGCATATTGCACCTTTTTAATTATTATTATGGGAGTTGGAATATAGAATATCCAACTTTTCTGTAAAACAGAAAAAGAATAGTCTCTGTGCCCATCTTCACTTAGGGCAGAAGGAACTTTGTAAGGTCCAAGTTGCCAAGATGACCTTATGGTATTCCTCCACACCAGAAAGTTAATTTGTGAGTTCAGAAATACATTGGCAGTTTTTTGGTTTTCCTGCTGGGGAACCATAGTCCTGCTCTGAATTTAGTTCCTCGGCAGAGAAACCAGGGCACAAGCAGGAAATAGGGCACCCTTAGTTTGCAGCCTTATATAGAGTTCAAATGCAAAAAGACTTGCTAACCTGGAAACTCAGAAGTATTCTCTGTATTTTAATCTAAACTCTAGGATTGGATTTTTATTTGCATGCACTAAATCAAAGGCTACAGCCAAAACCAAAATCTCAATGAAGAATAACTATTTTAAGCTCTAATTACAGTCCAAAACCAAGCATAGTTTCCTTCTATACTGGCTGCTTTAATACCAGATAATCTTACAGAATTTTAGAAATTACATCATTATAATTTTTGTATTAGTAATTATCATTAAAAGTAATTAAGATATTTTTCAGTTCATAAAAAGTTCTTCCCATAACTGTTAATGGGAAGTCAGTGTTCAGTATTATTCTACTACAGGTGTCTGAGAGGCTCTGTATGACAGGCTTATCAGAGTATCATGATCTTAAGCTAAAAATGACACTGTGTTCAGTGTAGCTGTACAGCATCTCATTTCAGAAATTTCCATTCTCCTCACATATGAACAGCATCACAGCAGGGAGAAATGTTTGGCACACTCATGATAAAAAGTTTTCTAGCTGAGTGCTACTTGAACTTTTGAAATCTGAACAAAAAACCCCCCACCTTCGAAGGCCCAACCTTCAAATATCACATTCTGCAGCTATTTACATTTGTGGTGTTTAAAGCAAGAGGGAAGCAGGCATAAGGTGCCGCAGAAAACACCTGGGGTTCTAAGAAATAAGCACATCCAAAACGTTTACTGTTGCACTTTCAATATCATACGCTTATGTCCTACCTATGTGCAGGTATCTTGCGATTCCCAGCAATCAGGATAACGTCACAGAGCTGCTGTTGCTTCAGGTAGCTCTCCATCTTTCTGAAGGTTTGCTCCGCGTGGTGAACAGCCTGATAGAATTCCTCGGAGCTACATGAATCCATGTCGCAGTGGGGTGGCAAGGGGTGGCTGGCTGCTGACAGTCTGTAAACCACAAGAGAAACTCCGTGTTGATAAGATGTGACCAGTTGTCTAGACTTCATCACAGGCTTCTAGAATCTGATATAAGTAATCAGTGCATCCTTCCCATCACTAGAAGTACAAGATGGAAAAATCTTACGGCACTGGGAGGGACAACTGAAGTTGTCTTTTAACACTGAAATGATTTTTTTTCGGCACAGACATGGAAGTAATCCATTTCTTTCTTCTTTGATACAGTTATTAAAAATATAAATATGAACCACAAATAGAAAATCAGTATATTCATGTTAAGGTTAATAGTATAGCTATGTCTTCATTATTAAACTATGATTGGGCTCTTTAATTTTTTTAGCATTTTAGAGCAAAATTATTTTACAGAATTAAACAAACTATTTAATTTTCTTAAATATTAATATGAACACACAAAATAAATAAATAATGAAGAAAGCAATCCTATCTTCCCACTGATTCTAAGACTGCCTACTCTAGTTCACTTCTTCAAATTCACATTCATTTTACACCACCTGGGAAAGAAAAATAAAACTCTAATTGACTTAATTTGTAATGAATTGGGAATATTTCCACAATGATAAACTGCATACCTACTTTTTAACCAAAAGGCTCATTAATACAAAGTTAATTTAGCCTACAAAGATAATGATGTCTACAATTCAAAAAATCAGAAAAAAATATAGAAACAGGAGAAAAATGGAAATATTTTTTCAATATATATAGCCATAAATTCTTAGTTCAGTTTTACTCAGTTCAGTATTTCTGGTTCAGACTTTCACTGAAAATAAGAAAACGTGTCAGCAAGTACCAGCCCTTGAGGAAACTAATGCTAGTGGTTCCAAATAATTCACAACACAGATGACAACCTCTTCTTTTACAAATATGTAATGACATTGTTTCAAATGAAAGTCATAAGATTTTATATATTTTGTGCTGCTGAAAATGAAGGATTTCATAGATGAAGCTGATTATGTTTTTTACTTCAACTAGATATATACAAAACAGCTTACATAATCAAAAGAAGAACATCAGAGGACATATTTTAGTCCAGCATATCAAATGATATTATCAATTAATTCAAACCAATCACATTTTATACATACTCTATTGCAAGATAAATATTAAGAAGCATGTAATTTTGATAATTTACAGTAATAATACAACAGTTTGATTATATAAGGTTTGAATTCAGTAGGTACTATATTCGAAGAATGATATTAATAGACCTATAAGATAACACAATTTGCACTCCTGTTGCTGGAAAAAAATGAAAAGTGCATAAAGATAATAATAGAAAAAATCAGCTATTAAAATGAAATACTGTTATCTTAAAAAAAGAAAAAAAAAACTTTAGTATTTTTATTGTCTCTTGGTAGACCATAATATATAGTTCAGAAAAATAGTATTTCCTTTAGACATATACTAGTGATTTACCTTTGAATCAGTTTTTTGTCAAAAAATGTTTCATATACTCTCCTACAGTCATTGTACAAGGGTCCACAGGGGAAAGGAGGAAAGGCTGGTCCATCTTTCTGTCACAGTAATTGCTAGGCTTCACAGCATTCCTTTAAAGTAGCTGGAAGCCTGTATAATTGAAGGTGGCCTGCAGATAATTTTACAGAGAACCAACTCAGTTATCTTTGTATCTCACCCCGGCATCTGTTCTGTGCCATATACAGGTATTAATTTACTAGAATGAGTTACCTTTTAAAATTATTACCCACAGTAACTTCACTTGCATAGCATTAAACTGGATCCTGAGAAATCATCAGCTGGTTTAAATTAATCAATATTGCCATTTATATGCTGGTCAGGTTACAATATGTGTGAGCCTGTCTACAGGAAACTGAACTGGCAAAACTTTATTAACCATAATTCCTCAACAGAAACAGTTATGAATTGATGATTTAGAAAGGAACATCTCCTTAATTCTCTTATAGTCAATCTTGCTGTACAGTCAAGTAGTTTATGTTACACAGCTCTTGCAAACTCCTCCTTAAGGATAAAAGAACCATATTCATTCTATGTATGACATAATCTGCTTGTGTGTCCCTATCCAACCTGGACCGCCAACCATGTTGATCACAAATCTAAGTTTATTTTCCTGTCTTTGGATGATCAACAAATACTTTTACATAATACTGTAATGATGGAGCTAAGCTCATTAGTATGGGTAGTGAGTAGATATTTCAGCTTTTTTCTTTATTTCTTTTTTTCTCTCAGTTTGATTGTAGCCCTACGCAGATTTCTTGAGTTTTATTGCTGAAGAATTAGAATGACAAGTGATTTACAAAAAAATAAGTCAGTGCTTAATAAATGAGGTTGCTAGGGTTAAATAGACACATTTCTTCCCTTCCTCCAGGGAATTCAGAAGTGACAACAACAGCAATCTGAGAAACGAAAATAACAGGAATGAGCAGGTCTGAATGGGTTCATATTGTTTATATTGGTTCATATTGTTTGCTAATTCAAAACTTAGTCAGTTTACATTTGAACAGATAAGGTACTAATCCTGCCTCTTCTTGGCTATTCAAAACATGCTGCATTTTTCAGGTCCGAAAAAGAGAAGTACCCTGACTTAATTTATGCTAGTCCTACGAAGTTAGATTGGGCTGAAATGAGCTTAGTCTATTTTGTTCTTGAATGACTAGGCAGTGTTTACCACACATTTTGCCCTCTTTCCTGCTTGCCATTTATAAGCAATGCTTTCCACCCTCAAACTCATCAGTATATCTGTCACTTAGCAAGCCATTAAATGACTACTCAAATGCAAGCCCTGAAGACCCAGCACATTTTAAATTATAATCCTGAAAACTGACAAGTAACAAGCTTAGTAGAAGACAGTAAGTTAATCTTTTATTTATTTTCTAAGAAAGCCCAGATAAAAAGTCTGCTACTTATCCTATTCAGGAGCTACCTCGTTTTCATTACAAATGTTCTGTCTGCATAATGGATGCTTTAAATTCAGTCAGCATCTTGTTAAAATAGGAATTAGTTGAAAGAGCTTCAGCCAGCAAATACCAGTTATTTTCTACCAGTTCATGAAAGGCATGTATAGGTACTTATGACCGATTAGCAAAACGAAGATAATACTTTCTGCTTGCATATATTGTTTTTCTTTAGGTGCAGGCAATCTGAACCACATATGCAGTGAGATGCTTGTTGAGTGTGTTTTGCAGGAACTCCAACACAAATTCACCTGAAGATTCCCTGAGTCTTTCAAAACCCTTTTTAGCACTTGTGTACCTCAAAATCCTGTAATCAGTGAACAGGACAGACTCCAGACGGGCTTTTTCCATAATCTTTCTCAGTTGACAAGTGCAAAACCTGAATTTACTGTGGGAATTTCAAATATTCAGGGATTGTTCAGCCTAGAACACTTTTTATCTTTAAACGACTTAGTTAATAGTACAGAAATAAGGAAACCAAACCTTTCATAAGATTACAACAATGATACTGAAGGGTGATACTCCAGGATGAGAAAACTAAAAGGCTCACAAAAATTATCAACATTGCAAATAACCAATAATCTCAAATGTTTCTTTATGAAATGGCAAACCAGCGTGCATATCGCATTTAAAAAAAAAAGGGGGAAAAAAACCCACCCCAGCAACTTTGTACAGACTAATTTTCAGTGTTAAGAACACAATGCTGTCCTCAAAAGAGAAATGTTTTAAGAAGAGCCCAAAAGTGTTGATGAGAAAATTCAGCTTTTGAGCCTTTATGGATCTTAAAACAGTGTAAATAGAAATAAAAGCTTAACTCTGAGGATCTAAAACATCTGACTCCACAGTGCTCCTCTTTTCCTAGAAAAAGCGCTTTGATTTGAACAAGGGTGTTATTCTCTAATCACCTTTTACCTTCTCCTAACTTATTTGAAAAAACAGGTAAAACAGCAGTAAAATCCCAGTGAAGTTGGGTGTACGGATTCTTCCCTCAATTTAACAGCCCTTTAGGTAAGTACTTACGGTAGCCCACTGTAAGTAAGAAGGAGAAGGCACTCCGGCCAAAGGTGTCCTAGGGACACCTTTAAGACCTTTGGCCTTTTGTCCAAGATTAGATTTATTCAGGTATGTATTGGGTTTGTGCGGTAAGACAAACACAGATTAATCCTCAGAAGATATTTTGGGTAGACCAGTTAGTATCCTACAATTATGTAGATACCTAATCTGCTGTCTCCTGTACCTTGTACAGTTGTTCACTCCTATAAACAGTAAGACCATACTACTCAGACTTGATTTTTGCTCACTGACTTTACACATAAATAAGCTACAACATAAAAAATAGAGAAATTAAAACTCTTAGCTTACAGTAATGCTGTTGGGAGTTAAAGAGAAAATGCTAGGAAAAAAGGGACCTCACATACAGGTTTAGCTACCTGTATCTTTCTTCTCAGGAAATGGGAAAGTAAGTAGTAAAACTGCCACTCCTGAGCTGCGAAGGTTTGAAAACAGCAATAGCAAACATGAGTAGCTAAAACCATATCCTGAATAAGTTTCAAAAGGAAAAAAAAAAAAGGCACTCTGAAATAAGAGGTGAGGGAATTCATATGACTTGAAACCATACTGCATTTCTCTGAGTAAATAGAGGCTTAGATTTAGAAATGGTTTCCATTCTCGAAATGATAGTCATAGAGGTGCAGAACACAGCAGAATTGTATCACTGTATAAAGCAGAGTACGCTATAGAGTACTTCGGTAATTTATATACTCAATTGGAATATATTTCTCATACCTTCCACTGAAGCCCTGGTCTCAAATAAAGAACTCTAATCAGAAAATACCATGTAATTTCATTGTTACTGGAAGAGCAAATTCTGCTGTATTTAGCTTTTTTCCACTTTTCACTTATGAAAGATTGGTCATGCAAACTTATCCAAAACCAGTTCAATGTAATTTAGTGTATATTACTGGGTACATATCTAAAGTACATAGTCAAGAAACAAAATATGT